TTTCCATCCAAGCCTGTTGAATTAATGGCCTTTCCTTTGATCTTCCAATGCACGTGGTTGTGGCTTTTGTTTCCAGACTGAACTATGATCTTCCACATGTGTTCTTTTAGTGCTTACCTGCCATTCTCTGCTGAAGCCATCCATACCCAAGTTCTGCACTGTACGTGAGAAAGATCTTGCGTGTAAGAAACCACTGACACTAGCAATCACTGTGTGTTATATATTTGCATCCCCCCGTAACCTTAACACTTCCTGTTTTGCAGTGCCTCTATAAAAAATACTTTTGTCTGTTTTAGTGGCAATAGTCACATATTTGTTGTCTGAGACCATCTAAAAATAGTTACTTAAAGCTTATGCCTGCTCTAGCATTTCCTGGTTTTAGCCTGATGCAGCCCAGCCTGATTCAAGGGCATTACTTTCAGTTTCTAGTAGTCACTGTGGGATCAAATATACAGCATTCAGAGAGGCTGCAGTCCTGCAAATATGTTTTTTCCTCCTTTCCTCTGAGATGTCTGACTTACCACATGCAGACTACATGTGGTATCTGAGCTACACAGGGCAAATGTGGCAGGTTAATTGTGCTGTGGAGGTTGTGGTAGAGGCAGAATTTAGCCAGGAACAGTTAGCTTTATCGCTATAGGTGTGTATCCATCTGTCCACTCGTGCTTTAGCCGTATGTGCCTTTTATCACGTATGTCTTAACTGTTTGACACTCTGTAATCATAGTGACACCATTACATATGATTACATATGTAATTATATTAACACCACTAAGATATACTGATAAGTCTTTTTCTTTATTCCTGTAAAAGTGCTTTTTAACGGCTTATGAACATTTTTTTTTAAGCTAAAAGAATGCTTCCAAGTCATTCACATGTGCAAGAAGTGCTTTTATTTTTGCCTTAAGTGAAAGCCATCAAGATCTGCAACAAGCTCAGTGGAAAACAGTGCCCTGCCTTGCAGAGGGCAGGAAAACCGGCTGGCGATTCCTCCACAAAGGTCCCACAATTAATAATCTTGCAAGCTACCGTAGGCCTTTCATTATTTGTAGGTACAATTTCCAGTTTCTGGAGGACCTCCGTGCCCTCGATCAGTTGCCTACAGGAGGGAGACAGTGCACATATGACCCATCTTCCTCCAGAGCCAGCTCCACAGCCTCCGGCTTGTGTGGAACCGCAACACACCCAGGCACCAGTTGTCTACCTACAGGCTGCATCTCCTCTGCTCTTTAAACAGTTGTTCTTTGCAGTGGAGTTGCAAATGGCATCAGTTCTTGATTAAGTAGCCTGCTTTATGCAGCTACATGTAAAGAAATAAACATTGTACCATGTGCCCCAGCTACAAATGGCCGTGACTTTTGAGGAGGGAGACACACTGTCAGAAATGACAGTTTAGAAGTGACTCCCTGAGAAATATCTTTCATTTCGTTCCTTCATAGCACCAGCTGGAATCCTGAATATAGTCCAACATTTTGAAGCCTTCATGATTTTCGGCCTGTCCTCCTCCCTCACTGTGGAAGCATGAGCTGTGCCTCCTGCAAGTGCTCGCACAGCAACGGATAACAGGAGTCCTCTGAAAAGCTTCCTACCATATCCCACCCCATCCCATCCAGGACAGTGGTACCAAGCAGAAGGGCACTGCAGGTGGTCCTTGCCCAAGTGGGGACATCAGAAGGGTTGAGCAGAGCAGAGCTGGAAAGTGCCTGCGTGTCTTTGCTGTATGCTGTGGCTGCTTTTTGCTCCCTCAGGATTAAAAACTCCCACTCAACTGTAAGAGGGCCTGGCTTTTAGATCATGGATCCTGCACCTTTCAGATTACACAGAGCTAGTAGCAGGACAGAAACTTGAGGTGAATGCTGCTGATTATAAATATATCCAGCCAGCAATCACTTTTGGTTTGTCCTCTGTAGATAAGACAGTTGTGTTTTTCACTTCCTTTTAAAATGCTTTCTTTCTCCATGATCTGGCTACATGGGAAATGCACTGTGCATTTCCCTCTCTGTGGTCGTACATACATATTTCACTCTCTTACATCAAGCAAACTGCTCAGAGCAATCATCTTCCTTATTATGTTTTTCCAAATCAAAAAATCTTAACAGGGCCAGCCCTATACATTAACCTACTGAGAACAAACTGCCAGCATGTGTTCACTAAAATAATTTCTTTCCGCCCATGAGAGCCATGAGGGCTTGCTCAACACCTTCCTGTCCATCAGGGCAGGCCTTTGACTGACACTGAGCTACACAGGAAGGAATTTGTAGCCTTCACCCTGGTGAGGCCCCGGTAGCTTTGCTGCGGGGTTTTCCAGCTCAAGCAAGCCAGGTCAGGGCAGAGAAAGGAGGGATGGGTGTCATTAGGTACTTATCCATCCTCCCCCTGGCCAGATGCATGTGTGTTGCAGCTGCTGGAGGGATTTCATGGACAGAATCACAGAATTGTTGAGGCTGAAAAACACCTCTGAGATCATCAAGTCCACCCCACGCCCCAATACCACCACATCGGCCAGACCATGTCACTAAATGCCACATCCAGCCTCTCCTTAAACACCCCCAGGGATGCTTCCTCCCAGGCAGCAATGTCCTGAGGGGCTGGGGTGACCTCCTGCGCGGTGCAGTGGTGGGAAGCTTGTGCATACCTACCCGAAAGCCACGTATTTTTTGTCCAGGTAGGGAGCTGGCTGGAAGGTGATGTAGAACTGCGAGCCGTTGCTGTGGCGACCCTTGTTGGCCATCCCGAGGACTCCTCTTCCCTTGTGAGGGATGGAGAAGCTTTCATCTAGGGAATGAATTCAGGGATGAAAGGCCATGATTGTGTTGCTACCTTTTGCCAGCTCCCATGAGCTCCCCTTTCCTTCTTCTGTGCTCCCTCTTTCTCTTCTCCTTTTCCCCCAGAGGTCTCATTGAGTCTCATACAAGCCAAGTCTGGTTTGAATCAATGTCCTTCCTAGAAGGGGCTTCCCACAACTGCCCAGTGCTTAAGCCAGGAAAGAAGCTAATAAAAAATATCCATGAAAAAGCACTCTAAGCATTGCTGAATGTCAGAGCCACATCATTGATGCCTCTGGCTCCCCCTTGTCGGTCTGTAGCATCTCTCACCAGAGGAGCTTGGGGCACTTAGCACGGCATTTCCCCACAGCTACTTGGGATTATTCCCACTGTTTGGACTCGTGCAGGAGGGCAAGCAGGAGACTTCTTTAGCCAAATAAAATGACAGCACTGAATAAACAGAGAGCAGATATTCATTTAAGCAAGCTGGTGTGGTCACAGAGTGGAAGCTTTGTTGCAGAGTGAGGAGAAGAGGCAGGCAACGGGAGCGAGAGCTGTGAGGAGGTGAAGAGGATCCTCTGTGCCAGCTGAGGAAGGACTGGTGAGAGGGAGAAGAAGTGGCTCCCAGGAGGGATGACTGGGGAAGGACAGGCATTAGGCATGCTTGAGTTTGGGGGATGCTAGCAAGGACTTGATTCCTTCTCCTCTGTCAAGTGGAGCCCAGCTAGGAGGTGAGAAGCACAGAGTCCACTGATCCTGACCTTTATCACCCATCTCTGAACCTGATCACACTGAATAGTCAAGAGCCAATTGAGCTCTCAACAATCTTGAAGGAAACTGTAGAAATATGTAGATTTTACTGTTTTCTGATTTTTAAAATTCTTTTTACCCTGTTTTGAGTGCCCTTCTCAGAAACTGATTCATAAAAATGGTATATACATTGGTATATATAACTGAACAGTTACTCCCTGACCGCTGCTTTGCAGTTTGCAAAATGCCTTCAGCAGACTAATTTTGGAGTAGGATGCTTTGTCCTATGATATGATGCTCCAGTTCAAGTGATTCTCTGTAATTACCTCAGTCCTTTCAGATCATTACAGTAAAATGTGGTTGCATCCCATTAATTTCAGCAAGCATTGCAGTGCCCAGACGTGTGCCAAGCATGGAGTCTCCCAGAACATTACCAGCTGACAGAGGCATCTCTCACCCTTTTCAGATATCGAAGATATTTGTCCTCCACCCTCAGTGTAAAATAGTTTTGTGGGTTGTACTGGGAAAGCAATCTAAGCCTTAAATTAGAAAGGCATACGCAAGGGAACACCTTTCTCAAGGTTGACAAGCAACTTTTAATTAAAAAGAGGGAGGGGAAGAACTAGCAAGCCTCTCCTTTAGTACATCAACACGTGGAGTATGTACATTACAGGTAATAAAACTCTTCCAGGGACACTTTTGAGGCTGACGGATTCCGAATTAAATCCACCTTAAAATCAGTTAAGTGATTTTTGATGCATTTTCACCTTCCCACATGACAGGGCAGCTTCTTTTCTGGGTAGCACAGGGAAAGCACAAGCTCTGCCTGGAGGAGGAGGATGAAGCTGGGGAGGAAAACACTGCATGCTGGGCTGTGGCTTCATGCCACAGTCTGAGCAATGCATGTGAGGCCGTAGCTCTCTGCATGCAGAAGTTCCTACACATGCTCCAACTCGTTTTCCTCTGCAGACAATTTCTACCCGAACACAAAGTGTGAAGGGTGGGGAGATGGACACTAGCACAAACCCATTGGGTAGCATTGCTGGAGGATTCACAAACTTTTAAATCGTCAGTGACATCTGCCTTGCAAACAATTTAACAGCCTGTTCTTGTATTTTCCAGCTTATGTTCTTTCTGAGATGTGCATGTCCCAAGAGGCTGGGCTTGCTGCTACTTCAGGAGCTCCAGCATCAAAGTGATTTTTGCCCCTTCCTGCCCACTTTAGGCAGCCTGCAGCATTTACAGCCTTAAATCCCACATGCTGGGATTCCACTTCCAGCAGCTTTCCTGCCCACCAGCGTTGCAGCTTGGCTGGGCAGAGCAGGCTAGCAACTCCCCTACAGACGGATTTTGCTCCATCTGTCCTGGGGCCTCAAGGTGAGAGCAGGCTCTTCAGCATTTTGGGAAACAAAGTTTTCAGCTACATTCAGCATTTCTGATCTCACCGTTGGCTGCTGCCCAGCCTGCTTGAATGTCACCTCATGTGTGCCATTTGCAGTAGGAAAGATTTTGTGTAAGGGCACATAAATCAGTTTCAAAAGTGCTTTACGTGTCATAAAACATCTTTATGGATAGTATTTAAACAGAAAATCCCAAATGTCTATGTCAATTGCATGGATTGTTTTTCTTAAATATTGCAAGTTGAAATATTCTTCTTTTTTTTATGTTTTATTACTTTATACCAGCATGGGGAACATTTTTTGTTAAACTTAGCTCATGTTTGTTATTTCTCAACTTCCGTGGGTTTATGTGAGACTCAGAAGTAACTCCCCTTACATCTGCAGAGTCATGTAGCTGCCAGCAGTGATCCCTGCGGTGTGCCCAAGCCTGAAAAGTTGCCTAAGGTCCAGGAAATCTGGAGCCAAAGCCAGCTTACTTCCATTACTTTAGATGCATTTAAACAAATGGTGCCTGGAAATCTGTTGCTGATTCACTTCTGCATTTCTAAGGTCCTGTTCCACAAAGGTGAGCATGTGAAGTTAGAAGTAGACAGGGGTGACCATCAGCCCTCGTTTAGGCAGTGAGAAGAAGCTGATGGGGCTGAGCCTTGGGAAGGGGACGGCAGAGAAGGGGAGACGAGGTTACAGATCACAAAGTGTCCTCACCAAAGCGGTCCGTGCATGCTAATACAAGCAGATAATAATTCTGACTGAGAAGCAAACTCTTTTTCTTTAGGGAGATGAAAGAAAATTCTCAGGTCATTCTCTGAATAAGATCAGATCAACAACTTGAATTTTGCGGAAATTTGCCATTTGCGCAGTAAGATAGCTGAGAAAACATACCTTCAAAGGTAGGACCATAAATTGACTCTCCTCCATCTCCCTTTCCAGTTATGATGTCTGCAGGGTAAATAAAAGCAACCATCAGAGACCAGGTTTATCGCAGGCGTTACTGGGGCTTGTCAGTGAGCAGCTCAGACAAGATCAGAGATATGGGTTGTGCATCCGTCTGGGGGAAAAATGCATCCATCTTTCTGTTTTACTACCGAAACTTTTAACTTTTAAGCTGTATGACAGACTAAAAGGGAGTTAAGAAGGAAATGCCTTCTGTGACAACTATCTTGACTTCCCAGGGGATATCAGTCGCGCAAGCCGCGTGACCTGTTGGTCGTGGTGCCTGGTGGTGTCATTCGGTGGCACTGGCATTCACACACCTCACCAGCACATTTGCAAAGGCTCTGACACTTGGCTAAACGCTTCCATAAATTAATCTGTCTCTTAAACAAGTGATCTGTTTTCCTATGGATATTCTTAGTGTTTTCATGTTTCAAAGTAGCTTTCTAATTACTTAGCAAAGAGCTTCATGGAAAAGAGTTAATGCTTTCAATTAGTTTCCTAAAATCTTTTGAAAATGTCTTGGATAACTGAAGGAACAAATTATCCAAAGTTTTCCTATATTTAGAAAGTGAGATGGATAAAAAAGAAAATGTCTTATGTTTTTTATATATATATTAACTAAGAGCTCATTCTTCAGAGTTTATCTTTGTCCTGTGGTTCAGCTACACCTCTGTGGATGAGGGCTGTTATTCATGCAGATCATCCTACCCTCACTTCTCCTGTAACTTGAATTTGCTCAGGACACCTGGAAACACACCTCCTCCTTGGATCCACCCATTTTTCACAAGGCGATGAAAAAGGGAATTTTTGTAGGTGAGCTCCCGGCCGTCGTGGAGAGACTTCACTCCTCCGGTGCACAGGGCGCGGAAATTCTCACAGGTCCTGGGACACGCGTCTGAAAAGAGCTGCAAAAGTGAGAAGAGGAGAACATGTGTCAAATTCATAGCCAACAATGTGTGAAATTACTAGTTGATGTCCACTGGTCAGATTTTTGTGCCTGCGCCTTCGGCAGGTGAAACCACTGAGCTGGGCGTGCTTGTTCCTTAATTTGCTTTTCTCCTCTGTTACCGTACCTCAAACAGCAGCCTCCCGATAGGCCGTTCCTCGATGGCTATCTCCATGTACACAAACACGTGCTGTTTAAAGCAGAAAAACAAATGCAATGAGGGAAAGGCCATGGCAGCGCTCACTTCTAACACAGGGACAGAAATAATCCTCGCAGTGTGCTAAAAGCAAACTGCGGGACAGGGCTCACTTCTTCATCTTGCATTTACTTACAAACCTACTGCAGCCCATGCAATTCTGGCAAAAATAAATGAAACTGCAGGAACACCAGCCACTCTGCCAAAATGGACATTTCTTGCTCTTCTCAGCCAGTCTCAAAGCTGCATGAAATCAGTGCTGCATCTTCTGAGGTATTCATTTTGGTGTAACATTTTATTTTTCTCTGCTCTCGGTACTGCGTCAGTGCTGGCAGCATCGCACCTGATGATACTACGGCATTTCAGCGAGTCTTAGCTGGGGAAGGAGAGGTTTGACAGTTGGTGCTTTTAGTACCCAAGAATAAGGGTATCCAAGAATTTTGGTACCCAAGGGCTGGGCAGTATGGGATACTAGAGCGGCAGAGTTGCAGCATGGTCAGCAATACGCTTTTGTCTGTTCAGCCCTGAAGTAGTTAGTATGTCAGGCATCAGGGCTAGGGTTTGTCCCTTCCTGGCTGCTGAGAGGCTCAGACTCTCTGCCATCTTTGGCAGGGGGTGCTCTCCATCGACCTCTCCAGCCCCAGCTCCTTCTGTCACGGGGCAGAAAACTAAAAAACTGCCACTTCTGTGCTTGCACTCCCTCCCCCTCATGATACCTGCCCTTTCATCTGACAGCCTCTCCAGGCACTTAGAGATCTTACTTTTTGTGTAAAACAGTGCTACTTGCCTGTCTGTTTTTCAGGTATTTGCTGTAGAAATCCTCAGCAATCGCCCGGTGAAGTGCCTCAGGCTTGGTGTCGTGATAGCCCCACTCACTGTAAGACCACTTGAGCAGATCCCTCTTGTCCCCCAGCAGCTGGCCATCAATGAAGCACATCACTGAGGAGGTGTACGCCCATACCTCACCTCTCAGTTCCTGCATTTCAGAGGGAAAAGAAAGCCTCCAGGGATTATTTATGCATTTAGTGAAGAAGCAATCAGTAATATCCACCACAGGTAAGGTGGCCTGTGGTATTTTTATGCCCTTCCTCCTTTTAAAACCACAAATCCCACGAACTGGGAGTGAACAGCAGCCTTCAGTGAAGCACACTGACATTGCACAGTTATGTGCTCTAAAGGTCTGCTGCTACGGGACAGTATCGTGACATGTCATCTGGGTGTCACTTCTGGGGCAACTCAGACTGAACAGGAGAAGCACCTGCAGAGCCCCATCCTGCCTCGAGGGTCTCAGAGAATGTTAAATAAATTGGGGTGGAAAAGCTCACATTTGCAATCTGCAGATGGCACCGAGCTGGGGGGAGGATGCAGCCCCAGGGAGAGGACTCGTGTCTGAAACAACCTGAGGAGACAAGAGTTACCTTCTTTTTCTTCTGTAAATATTCATGCCATGCAAATTCTACTAAAGGCTCTATTACAGGATCTGCAAACTTGCTTGGAAACTTCAGCTTCAGAGCCTATATTTTCAAGGAAAAGAAAAAAAAATTTGCTTACAAGCAGCATAAACTCTCTCACACCCTATCCTATCACAGCTTGTATTTCCCTCATGAACTACAACCTAAGCCACATTCTAATCCAGTTACTGCTCTGCACCCCTCATCCCTCTGGTGTAATTCCTGACACTTGCAGAAGTACATGCAAATCACTTCAAATCCTCTTTGCAGAGGTAATGGGTGTCCTGTTTTTCTATGAAAGGCTGCTTTACAAATATTATTGAATTATACTGGTGCTTCCCCTGCTGCTCACCACCACATGAGGTGGATATAAGTGGTGAGATATTCAAAGGTGTTACTGAGCATTGTCAACGATATTTATTTGCATGCACGGGGACCCACAGTCCTCTGCTGTCGCAGGGTCTCGGCGCAAGCAAGCGGCTCAGTGAATACTGCAAGGTGAACATTTTTAGCAGTGTATCAGGAACACAGCACTACTTAGATCTGGGGCATTCCTCTCCATGGATTTAACCTCAACTCCACATGGGCTAGGGCACACAAGTACCACAAGCTTAAAGCTTAAAGCCAGCTGACATGGCCTTAAAAAGAATAAAGTGAAGAAGTAACTTGACATTCAGCCCACGCTCCCTGTTATCGTTGGGATGGAGGCTGCAAAAAATAAAGGAAAAAAGCCGAGGCACACACCCTTTGCAGTTATCAGCTTGCCTTGTCCCTAGGTTTATTGATAGACAGCAAAACTTCATCAGTAAATAACGCTGGAGAATAAGCCTGGCAGATAAACTCTTACAGGCAGGGAGGGCATAAAAGTCAGCACTGGGCGCCCCACAGTGGGCTGCATCCTATGCATCTGCTGCACAGCCAAGCTTCTTGTGAGAGGCCTGTGAAACCCCGTGAGGTTTGCAGCCTTTTGCTTTCTCATCTGCACTCACAGAGCTACGTTAAGGGACTTGTCATAAGCTGCCAAGTAAGCCGGGCAGAGCCATGACATGCATGACATCTTGTCTAGGTGTAGGAATAAGGGTGCGACGATGCTGTAAATAGAGACTCCCTGCCCCGAGCAGCACTGAGCTGGGAGCCCAAAACACCTTGGTGCCTGTGTTTGGCAGCACCAAAGAAGAGCAGAAACCCAAAATTCAGAATATTTTCATCCTAAGAGCTGCCACTGGGCGCAGGCATTCCTCTGCTTATTTATTTCTAGCCTGCACCACTCCCTGCTTCTCCCAAACCGGCACTGGGGTTCAAGCCCGGAGGTTACCTCTGCTGCGCACTTGGCCACGTGGAAAGCCGGGTCCTGGAGCAGCCCCACCACTGTCACCGTCACCCGCTGTGGGCCCATGGCACCCGGGCCACCAGGAGTCTGAGTCCATAAACAGAGCCCAGCTCCATGGCAACACTGGACACCAACACACACCTCCCCCTCCGCATTTCTAAGAGCTTCCCATGCCCAGTGAAAGAGGGTTTCAACTCTGCCAGAGGGTGGGAAATGCTCCAATTTTTGTTTTCCCCTGAAGGAAGGAAACAGAGGTTTCACCGAAAGCGCATGGCAGAGCAGCAGACTGAAGCCAGCTCTTTCCAGAGCTCATCACAGATGCTGTCAGTATGGGATCACTTAAAAGAAAGAATGAACATCCTGTTGTCAATGGTAGTTAACAGCAGATGCCCAGAAAAAAGTGGTGAGAGTAAGCAAACATAAGAGCAGTGCTTCCCTGTTACTCTTCCAGCCTCTGCTCAAGGATTTCCCAGTATCTTTGTGTTTAACTCTTGCTGGCTCTTTTCAACATGTATTTGTTTGCTTTTTGGACAAGTGGTGTTCACAAAATCCCATGGCAATGAGATTTACAGCAGCGTTTGCTGGGTGCTGCTGAGGCATCATTCCCACCGGCAGCCCGGGCAGAGCGGTGCGGAGCACGGACAGAGCCGTTCCAGAGGGGTCACAGCTCCCGCAGCAAAGCTTTGTGCCCTTTCGGCTAACGCAGCATGTGCAAAAAGCGGTTTTGTGGGATGGTGATCAGTTCAGCTTCCGTCAGCAGGTCTAGGTTAGGTCAGTCTGCATCCCTGAGCAAGGTGAGCTTTAGAAGGCATTGGTGTTGGGAGTGACAAAACTGAACTGTGTGTCATGAAAAATTCACACAACTTTTCATGACGTCATGGTCGTCACAGCCCCAGAAAAAATATTTTGACCTACCACACCTATCGTAGACGAGATAGTTGTTATTTTCATGTGGAAAATATGTTCTGCAGAACAAACCTAGACACAAGAAAATTAGATACAATAAAAATTATATTAATTTCTCATCTTAATAACAAAATGCACTTTTTTTTAATTGTACACCAAAATGGCTTCATAAAGTGATAAATTTGTACATAACCACAGCATCAGAATCAAAAAGCCTATGGCCTTTCAGCTAGATGTTTCTGAGTTACCCATGCCTGTAAAAAATTCAGAATGAGAAAAAACCCACGGGTTGCAGAAGGGCTCCCCCATGTAGCCCTGAAGTTTCTCAGGTTCCCACGTGGCTTAGTCGTATTTTCTTAGAGTGCTTCCTTACGGCAACACTTCTGTAACCATTTTGCTGGGATTTGCAGCAATGTTGGATTTGAAGAGTTCCATCCTCACAGCATCCAAGACTGAGAAGATCAGATTCTGAAGGTTCAGCTGCCAGAGCTGCCCTCTTGCCTGAGAGACCCGTGCACAAGATGTTATCATTTCATGTTATGATTTTGGTCCTGACGAAAAAGTGCAGAAGACAGAGAGATGAAGCAGTCTGGACAATGGGACAAATTAAAGTCGTATAGCAGACAAGGCACTTTTAATTTATGCATAGGTACAGGGTGGCAGAAGACAAACTGAAGCACGACAGTAGGTAACATCAGCAAGCAGCAGCTGCAGCCACTGCGGCTCAGCAATGCAAAGGAAAGTCCTTTCCTTCCTCCTTCTGAGGGCCCGCAACACAACTGCCAAAGCATCTTTAGGCTATGAACCTAATTTTAGTAGCCAGACCATATGGCTTCTGCTACCCCCAAACAAGTCTACAGCAGCCTTAGGTAAAGTCAAGAAGAGAAGCAGTATAGCCGGAGTCAAATATAAAATGAGTGACGCTTCAGAAAATATTCTCTTTGCTACAGATTGATGTCTGCATTTCATAAATATGCTTAAATTTCCACACAAATTCTGTTCCTGAAATTTAATTCTGCACATATATACAACTGGCTCCTGTTATCCCTTTTTCTTTCAAAAAACAATACTTCGCTGTTTGGGGTTTTTTTACGGATAATTTCTAGGCATGGAACTTCTTACTGTCATTGTGGGCAAGAAAGGGAATTAACTATAAACATTCTGGTAACAGTCAACTAATAGTCAAAGTCAAGAAGAAAAGTAACAATTAGCCAAACAAGCATAATGTTATTAGCTGTACAGAAAAGCAATAACTGGTCAAACAAGCTTAATATTACTAGTCAATAAGCTAGTAATATCACTAGCTGTAGAGGACTGTTTTCTGAAAATTTATGACAGCCTTTTTAAAAAGAAAGAACAAGCCAAGAGCCACTGATTACTTGCTGTCTCCCTATATACATCCTGGCTTTTTTTTCCCTTCTCTGTTTCATATCACTTTGTAATTCAGGTACATTAAAATCATCTATCCTACAGGTTGCCAACTATCAAAATCTTAAACTGGTTGATTATTATTAATTTCAGCCTGTGTATGACAACACGATATTGTTCTGCAAGCCTATTCATATTTCTTCGGTGAAGTTTTGCTTGTGTTTAGGAGTTTGCCAGTACCGCTCCGCTCACCAGCTGCAGCAGACCTGCCGTGCTCCATTTGGTTTGGAGAGAGCAACAATTGCTGTGAAGAAAAGTATGGAAAGCACAAGAAGTTGTAGAGCACATTTAAAGAATGATACTGAAACCCTGTCCAAGGCCAGGCAGCTAGCAGTCCTGGAAACAAGTCCTTTGAAACATGCCCTGACACGAGACCCCAGAGCCTCTGCAGGACTGTCAGAAGGTTTCCTCACTCCAAATCTCTCCACCTGCTGTGGCTACTTCAGCTCCTTCCAGTCCAAGGCAGCATCTGAAAGAGACCGAGAAAGAGAACAGAAGAGCAGATTGGATTAATTAAAAAAAAATAAAAATTAATAAATATGCTTGAGAGAGATCTCTTCCATGAAGGTACTGAAGGTATTCTGGCAGGAGAGATGCTAGGGGTCACCCGGCAACATTTTGGTGAGTCAAACAACTACAGCATCGCCTTGCTTAAAGATGCAGAAAGAAAAACGCCGTGCTTGTCAAAGATGCAAATGCCAAACAACTTCACAGGAAACACTGCACAGCTCATCTGCTGAGGCAGGTGAACCACAACAGTGTGCTGTGAGGACTAGTGGGAGGGCCACCACTGCTGTTTCACATCAGGCCCTTCAGCTCCCACAAGTCCTTTCTGACAGATACTATGCAGCTGTTAGATCACCCAGCAGTTTAGACAAGCAACACAGGGGACTTCAGAAAAGCTCTTCTTACTGCCAGGGAATGAATGAGGGAGTGATTCAGCTCCAGAAAGAAGGAAGACCTCCATAAACTTAAGACTTCCAGGTGGAAGGCAGAAACAGACATCATTTTATCATGAAATTCAAAGCAAAGCCAAAGAGATAAGCTTATTTTCAAGATGACAATAGACTAACAGGGCTGTCCACACCGACCTGAAGTTCCCCAGGTGACTGCTCTAATAGCCACGAGGCACATTACCTTTGAAAGCAAGGAGGGTTTGAAGGGAAGTTCCATGAACACAGAAGAATTGGTCCCTTTCAGGAATGCAGACAGTGAGATACAGTTGCAGATGCTGGAAAAACTTGCAGGACGGGGAAGGGAGGTGTTAACTAAAGCAAAGCTCTGCATCCTGTTATCCAAAGGTATATTTAAATAGGCAGGATTAAAATATTAGCCAGAAATGAGCAGTAAGCATACTACAGTAAGACGCTGGTTCACCTAGGATATGCCTGGATGTTTTTTTCATTCAGAATCGCTTAGGTCAGAGATGAACAGCAGTCCATGTGTTGTAGAAAGCCATCCCTTGTCCACCATGTTTTATGGAAGATCTTAAGAGGGATGGGGCATATAGCACTGTTGTAGCTCACCGAGCTGCACGCCTGTAAGAAGCAGACTCTTTGATGCATCTGATGAATGGATACAAAATGTCCTGAAATGACAGCTATGGCGAACACACCATTGTCACTTCGTTCTCCACTCTTAAAGAAAACCTGCAGCAGCAACAGGATCAAGAAAAACCCCTCACAGATGGACTACTGACCATGGGAAGATAAGTGTATCCAGAAAGCCACCCCTGCCTGCTGCCCAGACTTCAGGGCAAACGTGCTGTACCAACTGGTCTCTTCCCAACCACTCCCAAGGGACAGACTCAGTTTCTCCTGGATGTGGACACTTACACAGTCAGTGAGACAGTTTGCTGCACAGACGGAAGATGTGGAGAGACAGAAAATGTACCGGGCAGCTACGCTCACAGGTGCATTGGGTCAATGACAAGAAACGAATCTCATACTAGCTTCCATTTAAGCTGAAATGGGAAAAGACTGAAAAAAATAGATCCCAGCACCAGCAAGGACGCTAGGATAGGTCTTAGCCAACACCAACCATAAACTTGATCATGACGACTAACCAGCTAAGATAATAAATCAAGTCTTTTACAAATAACAAGATTTGAGCAAAACTCTTGTGTGAACAACTGGCAAGATCAATGCCAGGCTCAACATCTGCAACCTGCAAATAAGCACTTAATTTGAAAGAGTTCACAGTGAAGGCATCACATCCTCTTCCACTTAGACAGAGGTAATTGCTGTCAAAACCCCTAGTAGTGCATTTTAGTCCCTCTGAGCAGAAAAAACAGCATAAAAAAAAAGTAGTTAAAAGAACCAAAACCAAACCAACAAACCCCGCCTTGCAAAGTTGCAGATGCTGGGATGAAGTTTCTCCTACTGGCAGGGTAATTTGTTTTCACAGTTCATATGAAATACTCTGATATTCATCTATCAAAACCAAGATGCTGCACTGGAAGGCTCACTGATCTAATTCGCACTGCCAGCATCTCTGCTTCCAAGCACAGAGAAGCGAACTCTCTTGAGCTTTAGAGTAAAGAAATGCTATTTACAGCTCAAGCATGAGTATAACTGGCAAGCAGAGTAAGTATACACGCAGTCAAACACACCCTTAGCAGCGTGTCTGCTCTACCTCTCAGGGATTTGTTTCAACTTTCACCTGGAGAATCAGACAAAATCTTCAGAAAAAACAGTGCCAAAATTGCATAAACTTGCATTTGAAAAAAGAACAGTAAAACCCTCTTAGAGTTCAACAACTCTGGGTAACTTACAAATGGGAGAAATGAACAATGGTGTTGATTGCTCAAAAAGCCCAATCTTCCTGTAGTCATAAGCAGTGCAACAGATTGGCTGAGATTAGTCTATGTGAGAAAATGAGAAGTTAAGGTGTTTACTGGCTAAGGAGTAAAGATATTTAGAGAGCTGCTCTGAAACACAGTTTTTTAAAGGATGCATTTTTTTGCCTAATAGTTCTTGGTGGCAGCTGGACTAGAAGTAAAGCTGAAGGGGCTTCCTTTCAAATTCAAAGCCTTAAAAACACATACACAGAATAAGCATTTACTTTTATGTTTAATAGAAATGTGTTCACTAGAAAGGAAGCAAATGGTGTAAAAAAAGCAACATTCGTGGTGTGAGAAACCACATGAGCTTGTGAAGCGCAAGCTACAACATGTGCTGACAGCTTAAGCAATGCAGGGTGCAAGATTAGTCACTGTTGGGCTATTTACAGAAACTCATTTATTCACTGGTAATTTGTAGACAAGCTTAAGAAAATTACAACTCCAAATCTTCCATTTTTCTAAGTTATAGGGAAAGCATCAAGCAAACACTATGGGATAGTGGCTTATGCATAATTGTACCATTGTACTTAATTCTGCAAGGATAACTTCATAAGGATAACAAAACAAAGTTAAAAAAATAAGAGGTAAGTATTTAACAGCTACTTTACTGTTAGTCTTAGAATTTAGCTTATAAACAGCATTTCAGGATGCATAAAGTATGGCAGAAAAGGAATTCAGTGCAAGCTCCTATAAACTTATGACCAGACAGTATTATGGCTGCAAATTATAGTATTTTAGATAAAATTAGAAGATGTTAGGATGAAACTGTCAGAATATTTATTGTAAGCTTACATTCATACAATTAAACAATAAGATTTTAATAGCTATTGCAACAGGCTTTACTGTATTTTTTCATCTGCTCTTACAGCATCAAGACTTCAAGCTTCTGAAGCACAAACCGCAGAATATACTGGATCTCTTTGGTGGCAGAAAGTATACAAAATTTTATTCCATTCTGAGAGGAAAAAAAGGTGAGAAGCTTAAATAGAGTTTTGCTGTGGGATGTCTCGTTTTCAGGTTTTTTTGCACTGATTTATTCCCAGCCTACCCTTTTCATGACTCATTTATATAAAAACTTGTCTAGTACTTTGAAAAAATGGAGATACTTACCCAAACTCCCACGGCACGTGGTCAGGAGCCAGCTGAGTAGTCTGGACTTGAACAAGGAATGTCACCCAGAATTTAGGCTCTCCAGAACACAACAGACATGCAGACACTGGACTGAGGGCAGCAAAAGCCCACCAAGGTGATAAAAGAGCTAGAGCACAGGATGATAAAAGCTGAGTGACCTGGGTTTGTTCAAGGCCTTAAGAGTAGGTGGTTTTGGGAGGACCTTACTGGTGTTTTCAACTACCTAGTGGGAGGGTGTAGAGAAGACATTTCTTGGAGGCACAGTGGCAGGAGGAGAGGCAGTGAACATAAACTGGAACAAGGGAAATCAGAATTAAAATAGGAACCTTTTTTTTTTTTTTGCACTGCAAATATGGCCAAATACTAGAACTGGTGGCCTAGAGTGGTTGTGGATCTCCATCCCTGGAAGTGTTCAAAACACAACTAGACAACAACAACGTGATCTAGGCGCAACTGCTTTGTAAAAGATGATGGCTCAGATGGCTTCTCCAAGTCCCTTCCACCCAAAATTATTCTATCATTCTACCCACCGGGCTTTTATGCCAGTGTCTCTCTCTAGGCAGTCACAGAAGCCAAGCATATACAAAGATGTTTCAGCTTCCTTCAAAGTTCACCTTAATTTTTGCATTTTTCATTTGTTAAAATGTAAAACAACAGTGCAAATCACAATTTAAAAATCACATTTTAAAAATTATGATTGAGCATGTTGCTTTAAGTACCAGTGGCATTTTATCTCGATTTTAACACATTAGTATCCTATGTGAGATGTTATCAGTAGCCAAACTTGAAAATCCAAAGCATGTATTCTGGCATGGCGTTTTATTACGATGTCTAATCTTTTTTGTTAGCAGTCAGTCAGTCATTGAAAACAATCTGTACACATCTAATCCAGTCAGTGCAAATAGCTGTTCAATGCGATACGTCCCATTTATACAGCCTATCATGCTCCGAAGTGATTCTCCTCACTATTTATATTCCTGGGAAAACAATTACCAGCTTTAATATATAGTAAAAGTAACAGTGCGTTCTGCTCTCAAACATACAAAAAATAACGTTTTAAATATACACTGGCTCCTAAGCTGAGACTGAATCCTGTCAGGAAGAGAATTTTGTACTTCGACAGACAGTGCCTTCAATACCAAGAGCTCTTCAGAGTGCTTGGCAGAGTGACTGAACGCTATCCTTGCTTACTAGATGATGAAATAAGGCACAGAGGTCAACTACCTTGTCCACAGTCACGCAGAAAGAGTGGTAAAGCTAACAGAGCAGAATTTTAGCTTTTGAGTCGTCCAGTGTAACCACTACACCTCGTTGCCACTCTTCAAGTGCAATGGCTTAAGCATTTCTGAGGAGCGGAACTTGTACAGCATACAGTAACCAGAAGGGGTGATCCAGGGCCAGTCAGACATCATGACAATTTCAATCCAAAGCAAACAAATTTGGTAGTCAATAAATCAAAATGCACTTCAGGGAATGATCACACAGAAAATTACACATTAACCTGCAGGGAGAAAGCTCATTAAACCTAAGACATACGGTGTTAGCTCTGGAAAGTACAGGTTATATTAAGCTTGGCAGTAGTTCAGGAAATGTCAGCTTCATCAGAGAACATGTACCTTCTGATCAGCAGGCATCTTAAACACTGTTCTCCGATCAGCAAGATACACCTCTCTGCAAAGTCACACAGAAATGCTTAAATAAGGGGACACGTATCTCCTCAGTAGGCATGGATGTGTATGAGGCACAAAACCCCCACATATAAACACTTGTGAGGTATGACGTAAGTGGTAGAGAAACACCAACCTGAAAAAATGAAAAAAATCTAAAATAAATAAAGTTAAGAAAACTGAAAGTCAGCCATCAAAATCACCAACAAATGCATCTTCAGATAATTATGCTGCAGAAAAGAAAGTGTGATACATGTAATCACTGGTTGGATGAGAAGCATGCTTCTGATAACAAACAGGCATTTCAGAAAGCCTGTCCTTGAACAGGATGTGATGACTTGTTTGCTGACAGAGATTGCTGGTTGGATTCAGAAACATGTACGCTTTGATTCTGCTCCTCACTGATTTGATGAGTAGGAACCGCATCTTGGCTCGAATGAGACTGTTGACTCGATTCCTGAGGCAACTGCACAGGCTGAGCGGGCTGTGAAGATCCTGGTAAGTGGATTTCTTCATCTTGTCCTCGATGAGCATGGAGATGTTCTAGCGCTTCCTTGGAAAGAGGGATGACATGCATTTGTTCAGGCTGGGCAGCCTCCATTTGGTTTGCAATCGTATCGATACTTTGGATTTGTTGCGCTTGCTCCTGCTGAGCTGACAGCAGCAAGTTTTGCAATTGCTGTGGTGGCTGAGCAAGCAGCGTGAGGTTTGCAGCCTGCTCTGCTGTCATATTTGGGGCATTTTCTGCAGTAACAATACTAATGCCTTGGTTATGACTTGGCACGAAGTTTATATTATGTACTGCATCTGTAACCAGGAGCTGAATTTCCTGCCCTCCAGAGGCGGCAAGTTGATACTGCTGCAGCTGAAGAATGTTTCGTACTTCTTCGGAATTAGTGTTGGTGCTCGGTGCAGCACTGGCTTCCTGAAACTGCTTTTCCTTGCTATGAATTTTCAAATGACACTTCAGGTTGTCCAGACGAGCAAACTGCAAACTACATTCTGGGCAGGAGAAAGGTTTTTTGCCTGTGTGCAAGATGCAATGTCTTCTCTTAGCACTGGAATCAGAGAAGGATTTTCCACATGTACCACACGTATATGGCTTTTCTCCTCTGCAAAAGAATGTATTTGATCTCATTAAAATATTCACTGTGGCAGGGCTGCTCTCTGCAACTTGCTGTAGAATAACAAACCTAAATGATTTCATTTTGCTAAATCTTAAGCACTTAAGAACAGTGGCATTAAGAATGTGCTCTACTTGACTTCACAAACTGTACGACACTTTCATTAGCATAAACGCAAAAGCTACAGAGATAACATACTGCCCTCCTGTCATAATACTAGAGGTATAAACTCCGTGCTGCTACACCTCGACAAGAACACAACTTGCTTTGCACACTTGAAGCACTGACCATTTTAAGAATGCTTATTAACAGCAATTTTAAACAAAAAGTGTGCAAATCCTAACTTGCTGCCCGATTCAAACAAGAAATTTTATTGGAAGCGTTTTATTTAACATAAGGCCCACAACAGTTTTCCAACAGTTTAAAATCTTACATGTCTTTATGCAATACATCACCCTGACATGGGTAAAAGATAACTAATGCTATTAGAGAGACATGACAGACTACAGGGAAACAAGACAATGGTCCAATAACCTTGTTACACCATGGCTACTGTCCTGCCGTCAAACAAAAATTAGCAGTAAAATTTTCACACAAGTAATAGAGCAGTAAGTACACTGTCCTTAAACAGACACAATACACTAAAGAAGAATCTTACAGTGTCTTGGCACATTAGTATTAGTACCAGTGAAGTACTTTCCACTACTAGTTATTTCTTTAAATAGATGCCACTAAAATATTAGGACCTTAATCATCCATCCAAAATGCAAACAAGCACTGACCATTCTCTAATTGAACAAGCATTAAATACAGGTATCAGATAAGAAATTAAATTCTTAAAGAATGTAATGGAAATCAGACATACTCTACCTGTGAATTCTAATGTGAGTCTGAAGAGAACTTTTAGCTGTAAAAGATTTGCCACAAATTTCACATGTGAAGGGTTTCTCACCTATCAAAAACAAATTTGACATCACTTTTTGCGTAGCACTTCCCATCAACCTATTAAAAACCCACTCTATATTTTAACATACATGGTACGGTCAAATCCTCACACTTCTGCCATGGGTCAGGACAAATATCTGAAATTGAATGAACTCACTGGCTAAAAGAGGGTACAGTATTTTAAATGGACATCTCTCATGCTTCTCCCCTTTGAAGATAAAGAATTAGGCAACCCAAGCCCTCAGAGCAACCGAAAACTTACCTATGATACATGTGTGGGTGTTCCACATGGAACAGACAAGTATGAACGGTTGGACTTGATGATCTTAGAGGTCTTTCCCAACCTTAATGATTCTATGAAAAAGGCTAACGCTGAACTACTAGGTATTAACGCTAGGCTCACGTGCAGCACCATGCAGGTGAGTAAGCCCATACTCCCAAACCTGAAAAGTAAATCCATTATCTTAAAACCATTATCTTAACAAGTTGGCTGCTTCCTATAAGACTCCATCCTCCTAGGCCTACAATATGCTGGGAACACCAGTCAGAGAAAAATTAAATGATGCTGGGTTGCATAAATCCTGGGTTTGGATTTATTTTTTTTTTTGTACTCCATTTGGAAGTCTTGTGTCTAATCGAGTAGACAAAGAGGAGCAGAATTAAATAACAGAAAGGTTCACAAGAAGCAGATACTACCCAACCAAAGCAAATTCTAATTCACACCACAACATATTCTTATTACACTGAGCTTCTTTAAGACACTGGACAGGATAATCTGCACCGCCTCTGTGGTAACTCACACCATCAAAGCACACCAAAAACGGTGATGAGGCAGCAACCAGACTCCAATGAAGCTTCACACTTAACATAGGACTGCAATGCTTATCAGCTTTCATATGGCCTTGGAGGGCAGGGGTAAAGGATGAGAGAGCAAGAAACGTTTGTCAGAAAGGGCCTCTAGTCAGCCAGTCAGTCCCAGCCTCCTACTGAAAATAGGAGTAACTTCCTAAGTAGACTGTATTCTTCTGACACAGTGCTACAAAACAGCTGCCAAAGCAGAACAATGTTAACACCTGTCCCCTCAAAACTTCTTAGAATTTTACTTCTTGCTTTTGAGATAGGACAGATCCACTGTTATTTCTGCATTGTTAATACTGGGATCTGGCCTGTGCTTTCAGGAAGTGAAATACATGGCAGGCCAGATTCTGTTAGAACTAAGTCACTTCTTCTGGCAACTCGTCTCGCTAATATGCTTCGTCTTCTCATTTCGCACCACCAAACTCATTTCCAACTACATTTAAAGAGCTGTATCAGCTTCAGATACAAAACTGGTGTCTGTGTCAACAAACACTATGCCCTCCTCAACAGAAAATACAGTATTTGTAAGTATCGCAAGGTAACACTACTCTGGATACACCAAAAACACAAGTCCTGAACTCATCCTATCCCAGGGAACTTCAAGCTGTATTTTTTCCACTGAGAAAGAGAAGGAAATGAATGAGATCCATAACTCAATCTCATGTATCATTTATTACAACTGCAGGCACATGCTTAAAATTAGTTTGATTTTGAGAAGAAACAATCACCACTGTTTATGGCTATTTTAAAGGAAAAAAAGACTATTCACACATCTTATGAACTTACCATTCAAAGAAAATTATTTTAAGATGCTTATGCTTTGTTGTAAGGGGAGGTTAGATCAACATTTTTTATCTCTGTTATCCAGCCATTCAAGTATCACCTTACCCTCTAAACCTCTTAAAACACCTTCTGACGCACTTGCATTAAACCACCCTTCCCAGCCCATCTCCTGCCAACATCTGGTTTATTACAGCACAATAAAAAGGTAAAAGGAAGTAAGTATTTTTCTGTTCAGCAACAGTTTTCCTAAGCACCCATCCCTCACAGACAGTGGTGTCCAACTCATTTAGGACATACGCTTTCTTTCTGTTAGTAGTTAGCTCGCTTCAAGCTCCACAAATGCTGGATGCAGCCATCCTGACAAACTGAATTCCCAGTCCAGTACTCTACCACAGGAGAGCTAACTGGCATTTTCTGCAGTAGGCTTTATAAGAATGGGAAAAAAAACACCTCTCCCTATAAAGGGCACTGCTTCCGCACAGTTGTAATACAAGCTTTTTTGTGCTCCTGCACTCTTGATGTCAAACCTCTTCATTAGCAATACAGGTATTATTATATACAAGTAGAGCAGAAGTTCACCCCACAGGGACAAGTGGCATTTGCCTAACATTGTTTTGCCTATGTTCAAGAAAAAAAACACAAACCACCACAAAACAAACAGAAAAAAATCTAAAAAAGCAACTGACAATATTACCTGTATGTGTTCTTAGATGTTTCTTTAACTGAGCAGCATCCATGAATTTGCGACGACACTGGTTACATTCCGGCAGTGAATGGCCTTGTCGCAATAATAAAAAAAGTGTCAGTGCATAAGTGATCCCCTGTATCTCTCCAGTGATCTTTGTTAAAGCACTTTCCTGTAAAATAACCACTTTGATATAACATAGAGATAAAAACAAAAGGTGATTCACTGCCTCCTCCCTATCTTAACTGTCACACTCCTATCTATGTTAATATTAACATGGGAAAAGAAGGGACTGACACCTGCTCCCTCCCAAATGCACCTTCTCTTGCAGTTCTGTAAATTCTGATTTTTTCTACCACTTCCTCTGTGCGCAGTTTAATTTCCATCCTGCTCCATGAGCAACAAGGACGCTTCTCAAAGCTTTTTTGCTACTACTAGTCCAAAATAGTGGGAAACTCCAAGGCAATTTGTACAACAGGCAGTGGACACAACTGTTCATACAATTTCTAGATTCTATGTAGTGCAGGCAGCAGGGCCAAAATAATCAAGTTGTACATCAAGTAAAGAGCAAGCAATTTCTAATCATCATAAGAGTCCTTCTTCAATTAACTATTTTTCTAAACATTCCATTTATTATACAAGATTTTGTCTTTTTTGCCCTCTTCATTCTTGTATCTAGATACCACCCATCAGGTAGCAGAGACTAAATATTTCACTGAAGAAGAACTTTCAGCCTTACACCATCTTTAGGAGGACAAATCAGCACCTGTTATACCTGTGTGTACTCGATAGTGGCTCTTGAGCTGTCTCTTTTGACTGAAGTATTTCCCACACTGATCACATGTAAAAGCCTTCTGCCCTGTGAAGAAAATGGCTTAGTAAAATATAAACCGCATCCAAAGCAAGAGCAAGGAAATAAATGAATGCTTAAATAAGCATACATAAGAGAGAGTACAGAAATGCCTTTTTTTCAGAGAGGCAAATTCTTAGGAGAGAGAGGTTATATTTGCCTTGAAATATTTACCTGTATGTAGGCTCATATGCTCCAGAAGAGAATGCTTTGTTGTCAGAGCCTTGCTGCAGACGGTGCACATGTAGGGCCGCTCTCCAGTGTGCATCCGCTCATGGACTTGAAGAGAGTGCTTCTGGGAAAAGCCTTTGCCACACTCACTGCACTTAAAAGGGCGCTCCCCTAAAAGCAAAAGATGCTATTTTTAAGTATAGATGCATTATTTCTCACTAGATATTCTAAGCTAACAGTGAGGTGTTTTGCCATGTGTTAGCTACTAAAAAAATGATTTTTGAGTAGTGAAAAGGAGAATTAAGTGACAAGTTTCACACAGCAGTAAAATAATTCTTAAAGTATTGCCACATAATTCAGTGTTTAAACAGAGAAATGATTAACTAAACTGCAATCAAGGTAAGACATAAAGGCTACGAGATCCACTGACAAGAATAAAACAGTAAATACAGGAAGCATGCTGCAATTTGGATCAGCGTGCTATTTGGGACAGTTATTGCTGCAGACAACAGCTCACGTGTCAGTAACGAGCTTGCATTTACCAACAAGTCACTAAACCCTAACCCAAAAGCAGCAGTTGCTTAATGCCCACCTGTATGACTTCGCTGATGAATCGCTAAGAAGTGATTATATTTAAATACTTTGCCACAGTCTTTACAGCGAGCTTCAGAACCCGCACGTTTTCTTTTTCCATCAGTTCTCTTCGCCAGCCCTTTTTCATCCTCATCACCGAGAAGTTTATAATCTTTTAGTTTGATTGATCTCCTTATCTTACGTTTGCTGTAATGGCTCTGAGTGCTCTGTATTTCTTCAGATTTGGGATCATAATTCTCATCTTTCTCAGCAGACAGATCGACAGCTGCTTCTGAGCCACAAGCAGGTTCATCTTCTGCATCCTTCCCCTCTGTAGCCTGATCACCGGCAACTGCTTCTTCTGTTGCCGTGTCTTTTTTCACAGAATTTTGCTGATTTTGCATGGAGTTGTTCTCTCTCAGCTGCACGTCTTCGGCGTAACTTGCTCCTGACTTTTCTTCTTGGACATTCTTGACTTTCCTTGGTCGCCCTCGTTTTCGCTTCGGTGGATCTTCATTTTTCTTGTCGCCTGCCGCAACGGTTACAGAGGCTCCACTGTTAGCCGGAGCTGGTAACATGTTACCTGGGCTACAGCCGGCCTGATAGTCTGTACAGGCCCATACCAAATCAGTCACTTTGAGCAGCTGTGCAGTAGCCAGAATTTGCTCTGTGCTTTTCTCACTGGCACGGAGGCAACCAGTGTAGATAAATTCTAGCAGCGCTCCAAAGGTGTCTGCAACCATTCCTTCCAGCATGTAAATTGACTGTCCTACTTCACCCTCATCTACAAACATCATTGAGAAATATTCGCTGCTGGCAGCAAGCAAAGCTTTGTGGGCTCTGAACTGCACATTCTCCACTATTAGTGTAATGTCACAAAGAAAATCCTTTTTCCTTTGTTCTTCAAAATTAGCTAGAATGGTATCTTTATGAGCTTTGGAATGGATGACGACCAGTTTCTCAGAAGCATCAGGAGTCGTTTCTGCCATTTTTACTGTGATTATGACAGGAGGTGCCTACAAGAACAGAACAGCTTCAATAAAGAAATATTTTAGAAGTCTGCATTGTGAGACACCACACATCATTTGCTTTACCAGTCAACAGAGTTCAACAGTTGCCGAAGCAACTCTGAATTTCTTTTTAAAAACCAACACTAATGCCGACACAGCCTTTCTTCAAAAATTGTTTTTAAATCCTACGAAATGGCTACAGGTAGTTTCTTCTTAGATCAGAATTACTGCCTATTATTTCACTTGTTTATCTCTGATGTACTGTGAACTGTAGCACATCTAAAAAAATGGCTACCTCTTCTGAAAACTCCTTTCACAACTAAAACAATCAGACAAAAAGAACTCTTTGTTCACAGCTTTCTAGGGGAAATAAACAATGAAAAACAATAAAGGTCAACTGCAGCTTCATCACTTCCAGATGTCCCATTTCAGATTATTCAGGGACATGGCTATAAAATCCTGTAAGCAACGATAAAAATCCTTCACTGGCATTAGTGCGTTGGGACTCCTTGGCTTCTTACCTACCTCTATCCTTCTGAAAATTTCTCTTTCAGAATACTTACCTGATAAGCTTCAGTCTATGGAGGTGGGCTATAAAAGCAGAAAACCAGCAACTTTCTAAGAGCTCTGTCTAAAACTGGGTTGACTATGCTAACTAATAACCATCAGCTTGGCTTGCAAGGCTTCTTCCATTGTGAATATGCAAAAATAAAAAACAAGAAAAAAAAGTAAAAGCAGTGATTTCAGAAGAATCCATCAAAAAAATACTATGGAAGTGATATGCCAAAAATGTCAATTTCAACAGGATCAGCTAAGACAGAGGTGAAACAGATTAGCTATTTGCCATCCTAATTTATAAAACTATCATATTAAATACAAATATGTATTCATATTTGTATTTATTGAGCGCAACAGTTCTAAATGAATGCTGTAAGAAACAGTATACATTATATACAGATGATACCCAAATGCTACTGAGGTAGCTAACAAGCAACTCTTTTAGCCCCATCCGGCTACCAAACACTTCATGCTGGAGCCTAATTGTCTTATCAAAGAGGTTTAATTTCTGGGGTATGTGAGCCTGATGTTGCCGAGGCACCCCAAGGCAGAGCTGCGGGTCTAACCCAACTCTACCTTACAGTGCATTGCAACAACTCCTGAGGAGCTGCTGCCAACTCTGCCTGCAGGAGCTCCCCGACATCCACGTGTGTCTCAGGGTTAGAGGTGTTTCACAGGTTTTGATCACATGAAGGACTCTGGCGTTCAAGCAAGAGGCGACATCACTAGTAACCAGAGTGCAAAATTCGGAACACCATGCTTAAACACAAAAACCTAACGACCCCAGAGGCAGCCCGCAGGTGTGTAGGGGGAAGGCACCGACGCTGCCAGCACTGGGGGCACGCAC